CTAACACCATACCAGCGACGGAAAGAAGAGCATTTCTGCCCTCTCGAGATGATCCTATTCGTCCTGACACGCCACCAATCAGTCCCATAAACGCTGCTCGTACAGAATTAGGCACATTTGATACACATCTTGGCCGTTTCGCAAATGGTGTGCCCAACAGGTGAACAGTTCGATGCGTGAGATATTGTTAACATAACATTATTTGATCCATCTAGGGTTGTACTTCACACGGATCAGATGGCATCATTGGAGAATATGGAGAGGTTGAAAGTCCCACCGAAAGAACCGCTTCCAAAGAACTATTTGAAAACAACAGTTGAGCAACATTTCGCAACTTATCCCGACCATAGGTAAGCATGAGTACCGCTCTCCTAATCTACTAATTGATGAATTGGGTTTAGGCAGGGACTGTTTCCAGCAGTTAATCAACCTCACCCATGGTCGCATAAGGCATTGGTGTTTCGTTCACCAACCCATGACACAAGCGCATGTAAACTTGTCTTGAAAACTTTTAAAATCACTACTATCAAGTTTACTATATGCTTATATGTTACCCTTATGATTTTAAGCTGGATCATTGAGCCAAACAGATTCAACTTCAACAAATCGCTTAACAACGCCCAGTCAGGATAAAACCTTTTCCATAGAAAATTTCCCTTCTGCACCGTACAGTATAGCGCCAAGGCCAAAACAAGCAAAAGGTGAGACCTCTGATTTGCCCCGCATAAGGAAAAAAGTAGGCAGGATTTGAACTAATATTTTGCGGTAGGTAACGATCTTTTGGAGACTGACCGACTTGGCTCATGGTCGATGGGTAGATTTGATAAAGAAGAACCACGCTATACAACACCCGAACCGAGAAGGGATACAACTGCTGTGATATCAGGTACATTAATTTGTTTTATTCAACATTACTGCAAAAAATTTTCTTTTTAGTTTTACAAGAAAGGACAACTCGTGCCACCATTGATACGTCACTGCCATTGTCAAACGGAAAGTGTGCGTTTTTCTTTTTTTTGCATCATTTGCGAAATTCTTTTGAGCTATTCGCTGTAGAATTTACATCTGGAAAAATACGAAATGCCAAATATAGAAATTCATTTGAAATCAAATTCACATCAATCTTGTCCTTCTTTCAGTAGCTTCTCTACCTATGTTCCAACCATATCAGAGTCCCGAATCCATCACAGGAAGCCATGCTCTTCGTGAGGTGTATAACATTCGACATCATGGACGCCCTCGATTTGTTAAGATAGATCTCAGCAATGAATGATATCAATTCGTACGAATATAAACTGCAAATAAATTGATGAAATTTTATTCATGAGATATACCAGGTGAAAATCTAAACACTTTCAAGATTTCCAATTTTTAAAAACTAACAATATCATTTATAATCTAGATCGATCTGTTTCAATATGAACGATAGACAAAAGACATAAAGTTATTTTTCGCTAAATTGACCTAAATTTGGAGCAGTTCGTCGGATCAGTTCTCCTTTTGATGTGGTGCTCTTTCAAAGCTTTGGTGTAGTTCGAGTGATTCACGCAAAGCCAGACGCGTTAAAGAAGATTACAAGAAGGGAAATGAAACTGGCATAGTTTTCGATTACAGTAATCTGCGGCGCTCTAATACAATGAAGAGAGAAGAGGCAGCGTTCGCGCGCCCAAAAGTTAAAACCGCAACACAGCGGATTACTGTAATAGAAAACTATGCCATTAGCTTACTTATTTTATAAGCAGATGTGCGCATTAAGATGCCAAATTGGCTGATTTACGCAAACTTATAAGAATCCCGCATAGAAAGCTAACAAAGAGGTACTGTATCCAAACTTAGCAATCGTACCCGCAGTAGTTCATGTATGCCACTTTAGGTTTCCATGATAGATATATGATTCAATGGTATATTGGAGGGCGAAAGGTGCATGCATCAGCCAAAATGCAAAAGTTGGACTTTTTCTGACTTTTTGCCATGGACAACAAATATTGTCATTCATCAATAAACAACACCAATTAATTCAAATATTATCTAAACTTTTCGAAAGTGCAGCAGGAAATTCATCCAAAAAACGCTTTGACGTTTTTGATGTCCAAACTTCTGTTTGCCCTAACAATGCAGACCATAGTCAAATAATTTCTGTATGGAATGGCTTTTCTTTTGACTTTGTCGGACGTGGAAGTCGAAAGAAAAGCCATTTCATAGAGAGGTCCCAGAGGACGTGTGCTTTCACGCGGTTGCTATACATATTAATGAATGAAGTCTCAAGGGCCTTCCAAAATCCTCACCATCTTAGAGAATGTTGAGTGTTATTTATTTGCTCATACAGAAGCCGTCTATCTCAAGATTTATTGTGTAAACTTTCATTCGGAGACCTGCTTATCTTCAAAAGGAATGTTTACTCAATTATCTTCAAACTAACATACTGAAAAGCTACCTGCATATACACACACAACCCACGTCTATGCGAAACAGTACTTAGATCAACTTTAAAGATGATGTTTAAAAAAACAAGATTTTCGGTGAGTTACCAGATTGTGATACTACTTACGACCAGTCCACCCATAAACAGAAACAAAATTTCCAACCTGTCTTGTTGCTCACCTTTTTAGAAGAGAGCAGCATTGATATGAAATTGGGAGCAGAACAAGTGAGGTAGAGTGAGTTTGGACCAAAAGAGAATACACACAATTAGACAATTTTGAAGACAGATGTGATGTAGTACATAGTTAAACGGGAAAACCGTCATTCAAACATAAGAAGCAAACATTCCATTCGACCGATTCACGGTGCGAAAGCGTTACCGTGAACCGGATTACCAAGAGCTAAAAACCAGCTAACGAGGCAATAATTGTTGCAGAATGTTACTTTTATTACATAAACATGCGAACTAAGAAATCGCCGTCATTTTAAAATATATTCGGTGACCTGCTTATTATTTTCTTTAAACAACCTTGATCTTGAAATTTACAGCCAATTTACCCATTTATTTATGAAACACTCAAGTTCACGATTTACAGAAGGAATTTTGGAGATCTTAGCTTGCATTTCCAAAAAAGGGTCGCTGTTGGCCAAAATAGAGACACCATCCACAGTATTAATGCTGCTCTTATATTTCTAATCTCTGAATTAGAGTCAGCATGGGAACGTATTTGTGCCAGGGGCAACGATTTGAGAACACCTATGCATTTACGCTGGACGTGCTATAATAGAGGCCTCACTGCCGTCTTTAGAATCGCTTACAGTAGCCTCACCAGAATTCCTCTTTAATGCTCCTAGTTGTCAAGGAATTACTGAAAGTCAATAGTGGCAATAAATTTGAATGAGTTCACAATTCTAACGGAAAAATTAATATGAACTATTGATCAATAATTCGACGCTATGCACATCCCTTCTGGCCACAATCATATTTACAAT